CGAGATACAACTTAGCTGGAAACTTTCACGTTTCGTAATGTACAACTAATCCCATCTCTGTATATATATATATATATATATATATATATATATATATATATATATATATATATATATATATATAATATAGCAGATAGCATAGTTCTGTTAGGTGTAGACGCCGACAAGATCTAGAATTTACTGGATACCTTGAATCGCATTTTGGGAATGTTTTGAATAGATTTCTTGTCATCCAAATACAGATTGTTGCTTCTGGACTGATGTTCAGCAGTGCCTTGTCTGACAGAAGGGAATGAATGAACGCTGTACTTGGATGCTAAAGGTTCGACTGACTTACGCCATCTTTGGCGCCGTCGCGATATCTGATTGTCTGTTAATGTCCTGTGTACCGTGCTGGATTTTGCTCTGTTCTACTGTATGGTTGTGAAACACGATCATTCAAGGTAGAGGATATGAGCAGGCTCCGGTTGTTTGACCATGGTTGCGTCGTAGTATAGGCTTTGTTTCTTGGTGTCATCACGTGAGTATCGTAGAGGTCAGGCATATTGTTTTAGGGAGGGAAGAGAAGTAGTTCAGTTGATGTGGTTGTGAACCTTCATCGACTGAGATGGCTGTCTGGGACATGTGTTATGTGTGCCTAGTCGCCGTCTACCTCGTCACACAATGGTGGTCAGAGTAGGTCTGGGCTGGAAAATGGCTTGGGGTTAGAAATAAAACATGGTTTTAGTGCATTAAGTCTTTTACTGTCGGAGCCATTTAGGGAAATCTGAACTTCTCGGTTGAGGTCTACTTGACAACACAAATTAGTGGTTGAAGGTTGTAGGTGACGTCTCACAATCTGCCCAGTGTTTTCTCATTTCTCCTTGTTCTCTTTTCATACTATCTATTGTTTTTAACCATCTCTTATCTTGAGGGAGTTGTGGAGATTTGGAAATATTTCAAGGTGTTATTCATCGTAGACTGACATCAGCTGGAGGAACAGAGGAAACCTCGGAGCACTGGACAGCTGTTTCGTCCTAGTATGGGACTCGTCAGCAGTACGCACCCACGACCTCCACCAGCAGGGATCGAACCCGTGACCTTCAGGTTCCGTGGCCAGCGCGTTACCATTGAGCCACTGGGTCAGAGTCCAATGCTCCATATTTCCAACTTCTGTTAGCTCACGATATACCGCAACCGGCACCCAACGGGTGCGCACTGCTGAGGAGTCCCAAACTAGGACGAAACAGCTGTCCAGTGCTCCCAGGTTTCTTTTGTTCCTCCAACTTATGTCAATCTACGATGAATAACAACTTGAAACATTTCTTATCTATTTCTTCATTTCTCATCTCAACACCTTTTTCGGTGTGATGATATAAGATGTGGTGACTTGAACCATTATGCAGTCATGCCTGGCCCTATGTTCATTTATCCAACTAATTCATTCTGAGTAAAGTATTTGTTAAAATAAATTTATGCAAGTTGACTTCTCATAGAACTGTTGCCTACGATGGTTATGAGCTGGATAGACATTATTGATATAGAGCCTGGGATTACGGTGTAACCATTCAACTCGTCACACTTATACCAATAAATCACACGAGAATGCATCAAAATGCAAGGTGAAGAAGTAACAATAAAAAGCTATCAAAAGTGGTATTCATTTATGAATATAGAAGAAGGAGAGAAATGAGAGAATGCAAAAGTTCAGTATGACATTCAAGTTTGATGTAATATGTGGATATATTTGCTTCCCTGAGTTCGATTCTTAGCTATATATTATCACCTAGAATCTTCACCCACTTGTTAGTGTGTGCGTTATGTTCTGGGCGCCACTAACATTTTCTCAGTGCTAACATTGTACGACGAGGTAGATAGTGACTGAGTATTAGCACTAAATGTCCCACTAACCTCAATCGATGGAAGATTACAACCTAATCAACTGACATTCGTCTCCTGTCTAAAACTCTCCTGAGTTCTACGTCACCGAGAGTGATATCACAGCACACGGTTTATTTTATGAAGGCAGCTGTAACGACACGCTAATCCTCATCACACCCGTTTAGCGAAATCAAAAGAATTTCAACGTAATACACTCTTCCCTTAATAAGCAATCAAACATCACTGCAGTGCCATAATTGACATTAATGGTCGAAGACCGAGCAAGCTTTTTCCACCTATATTTAGATTTCGTCGGTCACTGACCTATCAGGATTGATGTGGTTTTTCAATAAAGTGAAGTTGTCAATGCGTATAACCACTTCGCTTCTGATAATAAACCAATCTTGAAACAACATTTTGCATTAGGGTAGTGAGAAACACATCTCAAACATTCTCAAATTGCCGCTCAAGATGCCCAGTAGACTCTGGAACTTGTCATTCATTCATCTTCATCTGATAATACTGTATCATCTGCACACTGGTGCATCTGTTGCACTGAATTCTCTCAACCATATTCAACGTTTTCAAGTTAACGGTTCGAGGTGATTCTTGAGACTGCATGCGTTGTTAACCCCTTACCAAATGATTTGTATTCAAGAGTTGAAGTGAATGAATTTCAGGTCTACTTCTCAACCAATGTATGCTCCAGTTTTTCTCCACCTCTCTTGAGTGCTTCACATCTACGACATTGAAATACACTTACTTATCATTATGTGTCTAGACTATTCAGTCCTGTGAAATATTCTTCTTATTCATTAATGTCATCAGCTGTGATACTCTTGAATTGTGTTGATCAGGTTTATCTGTCATGTTGAACCGTTCGGACGGTTAACTTTTTTAAGGTGTTGCAGTATTAAAAAGGTCAACTACACAATAATGACATCGATGGCTATTGAGAAGAGATAATTCAGCGAAGAGAATTCTCTTTTTCGACTATATCCTTCTTCTACAGCTGTACAATCGTGTTTATATTATATATCATAAACATGTATAACAGTCCATTATAAAACAATAAGGTATGATTACATCACTAAGCCACCTAGTGCTAAAACAAACCAGAATGAAGAATGCAAAGTAGTTGCGTAGTAAATCAAGACACTAGAAATATCGAGGAAGGCAAGGAGTTTGACAAAGTGAAAATTGTTGATAGATAAGAAACGCAAATATTGAGTGTCCACTTGATAGATAGATAGATAGATGGATGTAAATAAGGTGAAGAATGAGACAAGAGTCATAATGATGGTGATAATAACAGTAAACTAACTAATTGTAATGAAATCGAAAAAATGAAAGTATTAAGACCATAGTAAGATGAGAGATTGAACATGCTTGTTTTGCACACAGAGATCAGGCTTGAATTAATGAATCGCCAGTGCCTCCATTGTGCACAACTGTCGAAGGTGTACTTCTTTTGAACTATTCCATCTAACACGATAAATGACATTGAAGGAAGATTCTGGTCGAGCTATAAATGTCCAGAGTTGACCAAATGTTCAAGAATTGAACTGTTAGTTGATTTACATTCTCCCTTAGACAATCATGCAGGATAGTGTTCCGAGATACTTTTGGAAAGCGTGCGCTTTGTGCGACCTATATAACTAGCTCCACAGGAGCAAGTAAATTTGTAGACATACATCGAGGTGGACCAAAGTGGTAAATTGTCCTTAATGCACTCCGGAATGAGGTGTTGACTAGAGAAGCTCATCTGCAGTTTTGCAGAGAAGAATGTCTTCTTCAGTGATCTGGACAGCCTATTCTTCAGGATCTCTGCTGCCGTATCGCCTTTGAAAACAACGTTCATAAACAAGGTCTTCTTAGGAACTGCAAGTACTCGCTCCGTATTCTGATTTACTTTCAAGTTCATATCGATAAATCTGGATGGATATTCATTTTGCATAAGAATCTTCCGTAGTTTATCTAATTCTTCGTCAATAGTATCACTGGTGCAGATTCTTTTGATTCTTGGGGTCAACCACCATTCGGAAGTGAAGTGGATGCTAACTGAAGACCTTAGGTGACAGTCGCGCTATGTCATGAATTGACAGAGTTGGAAATTGTGAACCACTGGTTAAACCGACTTACCCAGTGACTGAATGGTTAACGCATTCGCCGTGAAACCTGAAGGTCGTGAGTTCCACCCCTAGCCGGGTCGTGGGTGCGTACTGCTGAGGAGTCCGATACTAGTTGGACGAAACAGCTGTCCAGTGCTCCCAGTTCCCCAGCTGATGTCAGTCCATGATGAATACTACTTCTAAATTAAAAATCCCCATTCATCTCAAAAATACATTAGTTTATTATTATCACCTTCATTATGACTCTTGTCTCATTCTTCACCTTCTATCTATCAAGTGGACTCTCGATATTTTGTGTTTCTTATCTATCAACAATTTTCACCTGGTCAAACTCCTCGCCTTCCTCAGTATTTCTACTGTCTTAGATTATTACGCAACTACTTTGCATTCTTCATTCTGGTTTGTTTTAGCACTAGGTGGCTTAGTGATGTAATCATACCTCATTGTTTTGTAATGGACTGTTATACATGTTTATGATGTATAATATAAACACGATTGTACAGCTGTAGAAGAAGGATATAGTCGAAAAGAGAATTCTCTTCGCTGAATTATCTCTTCTCGATGGCTATTGATTTGATAACTTTGCAAACAAGTTATTCTACGACAATAGTTCTAAGTTTGATAGTGGAAGGTGTGTACTTTTTTCCTTTATGACATCATGATTTACAGAACTTTTGTCATAGACTGAGCGCAATATGTGGTTTCTTGTTATCAAGATTTCTAGAAGCCTCGGAAAGAAGTTATGATAGGTGATTTCTGTAGTTGTTGGAGGTAGTACATCATATGCATATGCTGGATTGATTTGTCACCCTAGGATATTGTTTCGATTGGTGAATAACTCGAAATGAAGCTAGAAATCATAATCAATGCACTATGTCATAATACCCACTGTGAATAGTATTATCTAACCTTATTCAATGCTGTCACCTTTTCATAGCACAAGGTTAACTGCTAGTATTGTGACTGATACCTCTGTTTGTTTGTTTTCTTTCCATTTTTCTCCTCTAGACACTATCACCGTTGGAGATGTATCCACGTATACTAGATTTTCATCCGGTGAATACAGTCTCATTTACAATGACATTGGCTCGTAATTGCGTCCTACCAATGGTAAGTCGTGTAGTGTGTGTGTGTGTGTGTTGGAACTGTGGAATTAAAACCTGAAAATTATCCACCTTAAAAATAGTGTTACAACTCACCATATTTGATGTCAGCGAACTGGCTGATAATTTGTGAAGATTGATCAAACAGGATTCGAACCTATGACATAGTTTGATATATTTAAGTGGTACCTCTTGTCAGCAAAATAGGCTTACACTATCGAATCCATATGATCACTAAATAATAATATGAATAATTTTTTCATATTACTTTCATACATATTACTTATTTCAACAGATTGTATCGAAAGGCAATGACCAAGTACCGATGACAACAAAATTTGAGACCAGAGAAGATGTTGGTAAGTTTTTTGAAACAGTTTTATACTTTCAACTTCTTGATTGACATTAAGTCGTTGAGGTTAGATATATTTATAGTCTGAAATCAGTGACCGCATATACTTCTGTGCATTAGACATTGCGCCACACCATCTTGTTTGATGGCTGATGATACTAGCTGACTACCGAAACCTTGATAGATGGAGCGGGGTTCGAACTAGTGAACCAGACTGGATCTTGTTTACTACTGCTGGTGGTTGACACTTCCCGGTTGGCCACACCATGGAAGAGGATTTCTTTTTAGGGTACCTGAAAGCGAAAAAGATTTGTGTGACTCCAGAGACTATGAAGCATCCATCTGAGACCTGTCACATACAACCTTTTGAGGATTGTTAATACCAAATTTGTTCTAACGTCGAATAGAGGGAACTCATACCGCCGTCAGTAGAAATCGTGAAGCGGAGTGATGTGTGCCATATATAAGACCGACTTTTTCTAACCGTCTCTTTCCATAGGGAAGACAGTGTCAGCGTAACACTGCTGGTCATCCAATGAAAACACATTTCTTCTGTCACACTTCAGCCAGTAGTATGACTTCACTCTCAGAACTCCATCATAGTGTAGTAATTTACACTACACCGGTAACTGCTTTTCATCTTATCACCATCCTACAGACCTTTCTGATGTGGTAAGACCTCGAGAAAACGAGCGTTCCAGCCAGTGCAGCTCGTTGGGTCGTTGCTATATACAGATACGGCCACCATGTCAAGATACCAGCTATTAGCCGGGAACCTTTGATTCATTGGTTGAAAATTAATTACATAAACCAGTGAAAGTGGAACTCTTCCCCTCTCTTTCTGTCTAACTGCCTAAATCTCACTAGGTGGAAACAGGTGGAGTTGATGTCTGGTCTGTTACCTGAACCAATGGCTTACACCTCCTTGTAAACTTACTGAAGAGACGAATCTGAAATGTTTTATACGGAATTCAAAATCCCCAACCAATAGTGGACATTATTGTCATTTTTTTAATCTTTTACAAACCAGAGATTAGTTTTAAAAACATTAAACTAAACTGATCCATATGGTATGTTGATTTGTTGCCATAAGTTTTGAGAGTTGTGATCAGGACTGACTGCTTGAAATGTCTATCAATCAGTTATCTTATATTCCTACAGCAAGTATCACGATGAAAGATCAATAAATGAAGAAGTGGTAGAAAGTCGTGAAAAGAGCAAAAAGGGAACAAAGCAATAATGAAATCGATTCAAAGCCATATCATCTAGAGCCTGCAACCACTGATTTCTGTTGAGCTTAGTGGATAACGCTCTGGTGTTTGAAGCGAAGGGTACTGGGTTTGAGCCTCGGTAGGGACAACATCACTCTCTGAGGTGCAGGTATATCTAGCTGATCAGTCGCAAACAGGATAAAACGCGTATCCTGGATTCTTCTGCTAGTCACCAAGACGAATATAACATCATGAATATCTCGCAGTATCATCGTATCTGCATAGGAGCGCATCTGCTAACAGCAGAGGTAGAGCCGTATGTATCAAAAGTTTCATTACAACAACAAAAGTCAAGGACTTTATTGACTTTATTATGTTTAATTCAATGTACCTTTGATCTTTTTCCATCCTAAACCTACTTCAGCCCACATTGTGAGATGAGATGGATGATGATTAGGCATGAGTAATGGATGTGTCAGTAACTTATGTCGATGAACGCTCATAACCATACCAGTTGACCTGCCTCTTCTGCGTACAATCCTCCTTCTAAGTTCTACGCTACTGACGTGATGACACCACAACACCCGATGTATACCATGAAGGCAGTAGTACTCAAAGACGTGAAGCCTTTTCATTTCCTATACTTTTAATGCTCATATTTTAGTGGTATGTAGTAGAACAGATTCAACTTCTCTGAAGTACACTCCAACCTTTATCCGCGATTGCACATGTGTCTAGCAAACCTTTTGTATAGAAAGAAACTGAGATTTCATCGGTCATTAACTCATCATGGTTGATTAAATGTCTTAAGGAAATCAATTTATCTACTCGCTCAAATAGGAAAAATCCCTTGGGAATGATGGTTGTGCTGATTGATTGGAGATGGACAGGAATCGTCTTCTGATGATGAACATAGTGCAACATCTTATTAGACCTTTGAAAACGGTGTACATGAAAATGACCCTAAACTGGTTTTCGATTACCTCATCATCTCATTCAGTCGGGTGTATCACATATACACATACACACAGAGTGATGATAATTACTGACTCCGTTGTCTAGTTATTTCTTTTACATAAAGAAAGTATTCAACTGGATAATTCAAGCAGTCCCTTATCAGTATCCTTAATTAAGTGGGGAACATGACAAGTTGTCTGATTTGTTGAAGAATGTATCTAATCGAAACCCCACGTAGCATCTTGTGCACACAAATTTATGCAGTAGGTAATGAGCCACACCTATTATGTGTGTGTGTGTGTGAGGGCTAATGATACTACTACCTGGCTGCTCGAGCCTCTGTAGATGGAGTGGTGTTCAGACCTATGACTTATTGGTTGGGAGTCATCTTCTTAAACCGATGAGCCATATGTACATATTTATTCATGACCAGATGCACGCTCATTGAAATGTTAACCGTCTTAATTCATATTTAACCTTGTTAAAAGTATTTTTTATGGTTACAAGGGTTTTGTTTAAAAAGTCAACTATGCCTTTGAAGAATTAATTACTCACATTTTCTGCCAATCAACAGATGTGTAATTGTTAAGCTCAGGTGTTTATCGTTCACCTAGTCTATATTTGGATGAGACAATAGTAACATGCTGGAGACAGAACCGGAACGTCCTGGGTTCGATCCCTGGTGGGGGAGGGTTGTGGGTGCGCACTCCTGAGGATTCCCTTGCTACGACGAAACGGTTGCTGTCCAGTGCTCCCAAGTCTTCAATGTTCCTTCAGTGGATGTCAGTCTATGATGATTTCCAACCTAAAATTAATTGATAAATCTCCGCAAACCTCTAGGTAGAAACAGTAAACGTTCATTCATCTACTAGAGCAAATATACGTTACATTACACACATTGCACCTTGAATTGCCTCAACAATTCACGTTATTATCATTATTATCATCATCATCCAGTAGATGTTGGGTGATCAAATCAAGGGGAGTTGAAATCTTGCAGTTAAATTGTAGGTAAGATGACGATAAACTCGAACCACTGTAACCAATTCTGAACGATCCATCGATTTCGATATGCTATCACGTTATACTCAGACACGTTATGATACAATTGGTCATATTGAATTGCTTTAAGTTTAATTTTAAACATACTCCTTGTATATATGACTCAATATTGTCTTATTTATACTGTTACGGAGTGGTGAATTAAAGTTAAATGAAACCTTTGTCGCCAGGTAGCGGACTCCTGGTTTCTAGCTTTACCAATTGAAATATATGATACCCAGGTGCTGACGTATGGATAATCCCTCTCTCTCTCTCTCTCTCTCTCATACACACACATTATCAACGTAGCTCCTAACTCCTATGATAGGAAGCAGTGTAAATCGAGATCAGCATTCTAAGTCATCATCAGCCGCCAAGGTACAAGTTTCGGATCTCAACCTTGGCTTCATGTTACTGTGTAGGCGGGAGAAAACCTTATTCGATAACTTTGTGCCTCAACAGACCAATCAGAATAAGTATCTAATTTGTGACCTAGTGGCTTTATTTTTTGATAAAAAAACTGTATAAATGATTTGCCAAACAAAGTCGTTTTTCCTACAGTGAGTCGCAGGCCGGTCTTTGTCTTCTGATTTTCGTGGTTCAATGAAATATCTACGGTTTGATGGATAATTGTCGCTACTCGTGTCCAGTCTGCGTGTCACTGCGTTAGTACCGTTTGGCGTATTTCGTATTATCGTTTGACTATCTGAGCCGTAGGTTAGCTGACTAGTATATAATACTAGGTGGTTACTGAAGGTGAAATGAGAATTTGGATCGCGGCGGGATTTGAACCAATGACCAGCAGGTTACCGCCCCGATACTCTACCAACTGAACTATGAGGTTCTACTGCTGGCCAGATTTTTATTTCGTTTCAATCACCAAAGGTTTATCTCAACTGCCATGTGAATTCATGACACGTCACTACCGCTTGGTTGTATTCAATCTGGCTGCCTAGTCAGGCAACCCGGCGGTCGCTGGTTCGAATACGGCCATGGTCCAAATTTTCTGTTCACCTTCACTCATCACCCAGTATTTCGTATTAATCTGTCAGTCACTTCCATGCGGTTACTTCACCGTAGTAAAAAAGAAAACTTGTCTTAGTTAGACGCAAGTTATATTAGTTTATTGTTACGAAATTAATCTATGCTCTGCATGTATGGCTTTTTCGCTACATTGATTGGTTTACTTCAAAAGTGCATAAGTGGGTTGTACTTTATTATATGTCAGTAATCGATATCACAGTGTGTGTTTGGGGAAGGAGAGAGAGAGAGATTTATCCAATTACTTAGGTCAAATGTACTCAGGGGATTATTTCATTGTTGTGATAGCTTGGTAAAATTGCAGTTCACTAATCATTCATTATGGCGTATTAAGCATGCAAAACAAAATTTCTTACACGCTATGTCAAAAAGCACAGGACCAGATGGAATCCCGCCAGAAACACTGAAAACAGACGCAGAGACAACAGCGGACATGCTCACACCACACTACTATTGCAGAACATCTGGAAGGAAGTAAAGGTACCTGCAGATTGGAAGAAGGGTTACCTTGTCAAACTGCCGAAGAAGGGCGACCTAAGTCTTTACAAGAACTGGCGCGGAATCACGCTCCACCACTGTCCACCCAAAGCAAGCAAAATATTAAGCCGAATCATTCTGGAGAGACTAAAGCATGCACTGGATTCAAAACTACGACCGGAACAGGCAGGCTGGCTAGCTGGATTCACGAAGTACAAATCATGTGCGGATCAAATTGCAACGCCACTCTGTGCATCATCATAGAACAGAGTATTGAATGGCAGCCAACTGTACCTCTACCTTAACTTCATCCACTTTGAGAAGGCCTTTGACAGTGTCGACCGACAAGTAATTTGGCAGGCCACTGCTTCAACACTACGGAATACAACAAACTTTTATCAGCCTCATTCAACAGCAGCTATATGAAGATGCCACATGCCAAGTAATTCACAATGGGAAGCTCAGTGATGCCTTCCAAGTGAAGTGAAGTGAAGTGAAGTGAAGACAGGAGTAAGACTAGACAAGGCTGCCACCTACTATCACTCATGATATTCGTGATTGTGTTGTGGTCGACTGGACTGGATGATGCAAGAAACAGTGAGGAGCTGTGAGAAGATGGTGTGGGGTATACGCTGGGTGTACCGGGGAAAATAACCCAGAAGACTTTGATTTCGCCAACGATGACTTGTGTCTGATGTCACACAAACTTGAAGATGTACATGCGAAAACTAACTATCCAACTAACAACACCAACGACAAACCCCAATGACCATCAGTGGGTGAAAGTTAAAGGAAGTAGCCTCCTTGACCTACACCTATCTAGGCATGAGTGTTTCAAGTACAGGTGGGAGAGGGACAGACGAGGACGTGAAAGCCAGACAGGATGGGAAAGACAGGAAGATGGGCATTGATTAGCGTGAAACGAGTGTGGAGATGTTGTGCAGTGCACTGAGGATGTGGAAGGAGATGCTGATTTTTAAGAGTAATTGAGTGAAGTCAGTGTTTGTATATGATAGATAGTTGAGAGAGAGACTTGTGGCGTTACGAAAGGGATTTGGAACAAACTAGGGACATTGATCAACAACTGCGGCCTACACTGGCTGGTTACTGAAGATCAGAGCAGATGGCGAGAATAATGAGAATGTGGAAGAAGGAACTGTGGCTGGCTGGCTGGCTGGCAAGGAATCAATGAAGGAAGAAGGTATTGCTGAAGAAATATGCAGTGTAAGGAAGTGTAGATGGATTGGGATAGACTGAGAAGGTGGACTGTGGACATCGAGTGTCAGGCGAGTTGCTGGAGTGGAAGGTAGATGGGAAGTGAGGAGTTTAGCTTGCGAGGATAGGGTGACATGGAGGAGATGGTGTTGGGGGGAAATGAGATGTTGTGGGTAGTGGTGGAGCCAGGTTGAAAGGATTTGAGAGAAGAGAGTGTAATGGAGACGTGCTAGTGAAACGCTAGTGGATGGTTCTTTGACTGCCCATTTGTATTTTTGGTCTACATCTTTGTTTAATTCCCTTCGTGTCTGATGTCCCCGAGACAAGAGAAATCATAGTGGTGCATATGAACGACAAAAATAGGGTGGAAACATCAGTATATTACGACAATCACTTATATAGACAAATATAAGAAAAGTTAATGATGTAACTTGACTTGTGACTTATGAAGCACACTTGTTGTATATTTGGGAAGTGACTGACAAAATCAACGTAGAACTGCATAGGTTTAAGTTGCTACACACTTCACAGTAGCATATAGAGTATACTTGGATACAGAAAGACTGATGTCAAAGTAGACAAAGTTGTGGGAGAGAATAAACAGTTCGAAGAGAGATGTTACTGCGAATATGTAAGCTTTAGAGGACGTCAAGGAATGAATACATTCACACTATTGTGACCGATTCTCAGCCGTTTCACCAAGGGTCTTCAAACATTGATTCCTGTCTCGTCTCGGGGACGGTATCCAGTTAGTCTACACTTTGCCACACTACTGAGACCAACAGTCAGAGGCTTCTTTGACTGGCGCCACGTCTTTATCTGATCACCCTGAACCCTCTTCCAGCCTAATCCAACTTTTGCTAGCATAGCATGTCAAATTAGTCAGTGGCTCGGCATGCGCAAGACACATAGCCTAGCCACCTCGGCCAATGAGTGTTCACAATCTCATCAATTGACTTGCCTGTCTTGCCTAGTTACCCTTCGCCTAACCTCAACATTGCTTATATGATGATTCCATCGAACATGGGTAGGAGAATTATTATGCTACCTGGTCTGTCATGCTAAATTCGATTAGGGCTTTGTACAATCTTTAAAAAACTCATATTTCCTCTTGAAATCTTCAAATTTGTATTTCCCATGGTTACTACTAGAATATGCAAATAGAGTTTGACTTCATTTTGTGCTAATAAATCTGTTACGTAGGACTGACTTGGTTCTGACGAGCCATGGAATCCTGAAGGCGCCAAAACGTTACCCTCTAGGTCAATGAGGGATGAGAGCTACCTGTTGTGCAACAATCATTAGTTCGTATTATTTGAATCTGGGGGTTTGTGGGGATTTAAAAAATTTTCAATTTGGTATTCATCATAGACTGACATCAGTTTAAGGATCATTGGAAACCTGGGAGCGCTGGATAGCCAGCTGTTTCGTCCCAGTATGGGACTCTTCAGCAGTGCGCACTCACAACCCAGTCAGGGATCAAACCTAGGGCTTTCAGGTTCCGTGGCCAGTACCTCGTCATTGAGCCACTGTGTCGCGCTACATCGTGAACCGACGAGAGTAGGAAATGCAGACCATCAATTTCCGACCCAGTGACTCAGTAGTAACGTGTTGGTTATGGAACCTAAAGGTCGCGGGTTCGATCCCTGGAGGGTGGGGCAGTGGGCGAGCGCAGCTGAAGAGTCTCATGCTGGGACGAAAATACCGGCTATCGAGTGCTCCCAGGTTTTCAATGTTCCTCCAACTGATGTCAGTCCATGATAAATAGCTACTTGAAAAATTCGTATTATTTGTTTGTATGCTTGTAATTTGACGTTGTTGTACTGGACCAACCTCTGTTGCCATACGAGCTCTTCTGTAGATCCGTGATCAACAAACCTTTCACCTATTCGTGATCAGTTGTCATACTGTGGAGCTGTGGGTGATTGGCTCAAGGGGATGACTTCTAACCAGTCGGTCACAGGTTAGAGCTGAGCTCCACCTCCCGTGGTTTAGGCAGTCCATGTATCATTAGCCTTCACACACATTATAAGTGTGGCTCAATGCCTATTGCACGAATATGCACAAGATTGCTGAATGAGTTTTGTTATACAGTGATGTTCATTGCTTACTCCACAAAGTGTATTGTATACGACTTTTGTTCCGATTTACAAATGGAAAGGAGTTCAAAATGCTTGTTGATATGTAAACAATACTATCGTCACACTGTCAATCATAAGATTCAATACATCGTAATCTCCTGACTGGAGAAGTGATTCACTGAGTTAGGCATTCGTCTTTCAATTATTGAATATAAAGTTTTGGCTCTTGAATAACAGGTATTATGAAAAGCTATTGAACAATCGTTAGTATGACTTATGGTGTAGTAAATAATCCTGTATCAGGTCAATGGATTACATCATTATTCTTATGCTGTAACTTATTGTTATCTGTTATACGGTAGGATTGATTAATGTACTGCTATGGAGACTTGAATTATTTGTTTCACTCTGCGATTTTGGTCAGATAAAATTACTTCTTATCCCTTATCCCTTTTTTTCTCTTCTCATTACTTAGCTGTGGTACGTAATTATGGCCATTTGTTAGCTCAACTCTCTTCTGTTGTTCCAGACGGGATAGTGGCATTCTTTCCAAGTTATCACTATCTTGTAAGTATTATTGCCTTGTGATATATATATATATATATATATATATATATTATATATATATATATATATATATATATTTGGGGTGGGGCGTGGGGGACATCATTCAAACCATTAACTTATTCACAAATAAGTCCAAAGATAATATTTTGTATTGAAGCAGTGAAACAACATGATGATGATGATCATCATCATTAATTCTGATTGGTTAAAAAGTTAAATGGTTGTTTACATGACATACGAATACAGAAACTGACAGGATGCAATTTTGTGAATGAATATATACAGTTAATATTCTCATTGCGTAGAGTAGTTGTGGGCTCTTCTTCTCGAACTAGTCGTGTAACTATGCCTTCAGAATCTCCATTTCGATTGTCTCTAATCACTAATTTTATACAGTGCCTATGTTCCTATCGAAATAAAAATAAGAAAGGTAAATGTTTGGTGTTTATCATCGACTAGTGAATGTAAAATGTTCATGTTTATGGCTGTTTATACTATTTAAGCCGCCGTGTACAATCATTCTCAATATTTCAAGTTGTTGTTCATCGAAGACTGACATCAGTTGGAGGAACAAAGGAAACCTGGGAGCACTGGACAGCTGTTTCGTCCTAGTATGGGACTCCTCAGCAGCAGGGATCGAATCCGCGACCTTCAGGTTCCGCGACCAGCGCGTTACCATTGAGCCACTGGGTCAGAATCCAATGCTCAATATGACAGCAACTTCTTTGGTTTTAGTTGGCTGTCTGTGATGCATTTCTGTTCTCTTCACTCTGACTCCCCTCACTTCGAAACGTCGTTACCATTTTAATATGTTTCTGCTCTCTTTGTTGGCTTTCTTTCTTTTGTTTATCTATGCATTCTCGGCAGCTTGTTTTTGATCCCTTACCCATCTTGTCGTGTTTCAGCACCGGTGTTTTAGCCTTCTGTGTTGTAATACCTAGAAAGATGATTTCTTATTTTTCCCTTCTACCTTGATAGATGTGCTAAAAATATAAATGGTAGATACGTCTTCTAATGACTTCCTTTCGTGACGAACCACTCCTTCAGAGTATAGGTCTGCGAGCGATACACTGTCATCCCTATTCTCTTAACATTCAGCTGTCCAAAGATGGTTTTAAACTGCTCATTCTCAAAGCAAATCATCTTATCTATGAGTATCATGTTCGATACGCTGTGATCTACAGCAACCCGTCAGATACCAGTCTCGATCAGTGTCTTTGCACATCGATTTAGAGTCGCTAATGAAAGTACCCAAGTTTTGATGTGCTTTGTTATCACTAACAAGTATTGGTTGGTAATCATTGTCTGAGGAGACGGTCTCATTTCGCTTAATAGACCATGATTGGTCGGCGACTAATGTCACTACAATTGATTACGAGACTATCACTGTGAACAGACTAGTTCGCACTTTGCTGCTAGAGGTCTATCTGGACCAAACTTCCGTACATATACAGTACCCAACAATCACACGTACTACGTATGCCTAGTCACCGATTGCCTTGTCACACAATGTTGGCTGAGGTGGGTCCAGGCTGGAAAAAGGCTCGAGGCGGCCAGACTAAAACATGGTACCAATGTATGAAGTCTTTGACTGTTGGTTTAAGCCATGTGGGGCGATGTAGACTAGGTGTGATTGGGGTCCATGGGACAAGAGAATCCAGTGCTTGTTGGAGACCCTAGGTGATATGGGTGAGAACCGATGTGAGTGGCACAGATGTATCCCCATACACATTATCGTCATGTTAACTACACTATACCGAATCTCACCATTTTGTCACTCCTCTTTTCTTTCTTCTCATACTTTATATTTCTTTTGACTGCCGTCTCTTATCTTCATCCTTCACCTCACTACCTTTCTATTTGATGAACTGACGTGAGGTGTGGTAACTCGGACCGTTAGTCAGTAATGCCTGGTCTTATGTTGATAATGATGATGATGATGATGATGATGATGATGATGAGATGATGGTACCCAACAATCAGTTCAGCTTTTGAAGAGGCAAGTGATTACGGTATACATTCTGTTCTTAGACAAAGCGATGAAATTGTGCAGTATGCTAGCCATGTTCTGATGCCCACGGAACAGAAGTATTCCATAACCCAAAAAGAATGTTTACTTATCTTTTGGCTGCTTAAACAAGTGGAAGTCCTACATAATTATCACCAGGTAGACACACTGAGATCTTTCATAAATCTCTAGAGTTTTTGAAAGGAGTAAGAGCTAGTCACTTGTTGAGAAGGGACCAGGAAGTTTGAATGTGAAATCTGTGCACTGGAACAAGACCTAATAAAGCTTGTATATCGTTCGCAGTTTCATCTAATCCTAATATCAGTATTCCTAGGGCTAAATTTTGGGACAGATATTAGGAAACCTGCAGTTAATAAGGTGGTTACAGCATTTCTCCTATTGACGGGTAGATTAGAACGGAATATAATGTTCGTAAGTATGTAAATACCTTTTTTGCGTTAACTTATCCCTACAAGTCTCCATAAATGTAGGCATATTTAGTACTTTTTGAAGTACCTAGGGAATTCTGATGGGATGCTGTCCATTTCAGTGTTTCAATGACTTATAGTTTGATGGTTTGACGGCTACTGAATAGTACAGTTTTCAAGTGTATTATGGGTACTACTGTAACCTACCGAAAATATGAAAAAAATGCTTTGTCTACTTTATTCTACTGTTTATTTTCTAAGATATTTTACTCAAGGCTTACTTTATTGTATTACTGTATGGCCTCGACTCAAGAGCCTTCTGTTGTCTACTAACCCTATTCCCTACAATTTAGAGTTGCCAAGTAATCGGATCTTAACTGAAATTTCATTTTCACACATTATTAAAAGATCTATGTGTGAAGTTGTTAAGATTTGAGGCCGCTGAATTTTGGTTATCGAATGATCAAAATACGACGTACTCGTCAACTCATCTGGCTAACATAAGAAAGCAGACAGTGATGGACTGGAGGACGTTTACTTTCCATCACTCTAGTCGGTTTAAACAGTCGTCATAGTAGAAGAAATTATGGTTAATTAATTCCAGTTGCCACTGGAACCACCAAAGAGAAGTCGAAGGGGGCCACATATATTGTTTATTTTGTATACACAACCGAAAATGGTTCAAAGGTATTCTTATTTGTAAAGAATTTCTTCCATCGTATCTCGGTTCAGTCTGTACCCTCCCCACTACACCTATTATCATTATTTTTTTCCCCTTGGGTTCTTAGTGGAACATAGGGCTTCAGTAGCACGCCTGCATTGCACTCTGTTCTCTGCAGACTTCAAAACCTGGCACAACGACTGCACACAACCTCTCATTTCTTCCTCACACCATCTCCTCCGTGTCACCCTCGAAGGCCCAACTCGTCGTTTCTCCTTTGGATTCCAATCGACTGCCTGGCACGTGATGTCCCCAGTCGGCCTTCTCAGTGTATGCCCAATCCATCTCCACTTTTTTCCACTGCATATTGGTTAGGCGGTGGGTTCTTGGTTGGTTCGTTGCCAGCCAACCAGAGTTCCTTGTTGCTTATTCTTTCTGACCATCTGATCTTCAGTAACGAGCCAGCGTAGATGGCAGTTGTTGATGAATGTCTGTAGTTTGTCGGAAATGCTTTTCGTAATGCGACAAGTTTCTGAAGCATGTAGAAGCACTGACTTGACTGGGTTGGTGTTAAAAGTCCGGATGTTGTTGTTTATGCTGAGTGGAGTGGAGTGGAGTGCAGTAGATCTCCACACTGATTCCAGGTTGATGAAGACCTGTCTTGCTGTCTTTCCAATCCTGACTTTGACATCCTCATGTATGCCTGTACGGCCTGTAGTTGAAACGATGCTGCCTAGGTAGGCAGGTAGGTAGGTAGGTAGGTAGGTAGGTAGGTAGGTAGGTAGGTAGGTAGGTAGGTAGGTAGGTAGGTAGGTAGGTAGGTAGGTAGGTAGGTAGGTAGGTAGGTAGGTAGGTAGGTAGGTAGGTAGGTAGGTAGGTAGGTAGGTAGGTAGGTAGGTAGGTAGGTGAAAGAGACAATTTCCTTTAGATTTCTCCCGTTGATGGTGATTAGTGCCTGTTGTTGGTTGGGTATGTTCATCACTTCCGTGTTTTCTGCATTCACTTGAAGTCCCGTTTTTGCTGCCTCTCCTGACAACTTGTTAGTTTTTGCCTGTAGATCTTGGAGTTTATGCGACATTCGACACAAATCATCGTTGGCGAAATCCAAATCTTCTAAGGTCTTTTCACCGGCCAAACAGCATATACTCATGTTCTCGGTCCTCACGGTTTGCTGCCTGATGCAGTCGACCAGAATGAGGAGGATCATTGGTGATGGTAGGTGGCAGGATTGTCTTACTCCTGTCTTCACTTCAAAGGTATGACTGAGCTTTCCATTGTGAATCTCTTGGCATGTGGCCTTTTCATATAGCTGTTGAATGAGGTTGACAAGGGTTTGTGGTATTCGGTAGTGTTGAAGTAGCTGCTAAATTACTTCTTGGTTGACGCTGTCGAAGTCCCCTTCAAAGTCGATAAATTTGAGGTTAGGATTCAGTTGACTATCATTCTATACTCTGTTCTATAATGATGCGTGGCGTGGCTATTTGATCCGTTCATCATTTGTTCTTCCTGAATCCAGCCAGCCAGCCTGTTCCGGTTGTGATTTTGAATTCAGAGCATTGTTTAGTCTCTCCAGGATGATGCGGCCTAATATTTTGCTTGGAGTGGACAGGAGCATGATTCCTATCCAGTTCTTGCAAAGACTTGGGTCAACCTTTTTTTTGGAGTGATGGTGTGGTGTGAGCATATCCGCTATTGTCTCTGTGTCTGTTTTCAGTGCTTCGGCAAGATTCCATCTGGTGCTGCTGCTTCCCAGCATTTCAGTAACCTTATGGCCTTCAGGACTTGTGCTTTTGTCGGAGGGCTTGTGTACACGGGTAGTTCTGTGGCTGGGCTGCTGGTGATATTTCTGGACGAACTGCATGTGATGGTCTATTCAAGAGTTTTTTTGGAGTGGTCAGCCCATCGTTTCCCTTGTCTCACTTCTTTGGTAATTAGATTTCCTTCACTATCTTTCAATGGTTTCATACGTGTTGATCACTTCCCAGATAGTAACCTGGTTATTTGATATGATGTTATCAGGTCTCTCCTACCAGCAGCCTGTTCTGCTTCACTTGCCAACGTGTCGTGGAAGTGTCTTTTGTGTTTCTGTGCATTCTTCTCCACTTCATTGTCCAATGTTTTATAGGTTGTGTTCAGTCCCTCTTTTCGGTGTACATCCCTGCGCTGCACTGATTCATCTTCTGCTTCACCATCTTCCTCTCCCTGCTCTATCAGTTTCCATGTATCCATCGAGATCCATTCCTTATCTTCTTTCTTCTTCCTTCCTAATACGGTTATTCAGGTTTCCTTCCACATAGCTTTCCAGTGTTCTTCCACACAGGTTCCTTCAGGGGTGTTGTCAATGTCTAGCATTTTGTTGTGATGGCTGAGGTGAAGATATCTTTTGTAGTTTCGTCCTTCAGTTTCCGAGTGTTGAACTTGAACTGTGGTCTATCACCAGCTTCTTTGAAGGCTTTCAACTTGGTATTGAAGGTTGCTTGCACTAGATACTAGATAGTAGTGTGAACCTACATCTGCTCCCCTTCTTGATCTTATGTCCAGTAGGTTGACTGCGTTTCCACTTTCTTCAGGTTGAAATGAAGTCGATCTGATTTTTAGTGTGTCTATCTGGTGAAATCGAATCCATGTCGCTTTGTGGATATCCTTGTGCTTGAGCACAGTGCCTCCACTTACCAAATGGTTGAATGCACAGAATTCTGCAAACAATTCTCCATTCTCATTCATTTCATGGAGTGCCTCTTTTCCTATGTTGTCCTCTCCCAGTTTGGCATTCATGTCGTTCATTAGAATTTTGATGTCGCCAACTGAGGTCTTGTCACGTGCTGATTGCAGTTGTCTGTAGAATTGCTCCTTCTTCTCTTGATCTGTATTATTTGTAGGTGCGTAGCGTAGTATAATATGATTGTGACTTTCCTTCATTTTGATTTGAATGTTTCTTGCATGATCCATAAGGGGGTTGGTTCCCACTGCATGAGTGAGTGCCTTCGATGTTGTTGGGGACATCATGATAGCCACTCGAATAATCAGTATGCTCATGGTTGTGTGTGGGTGACAATATCGGAGTAGATTATTAACTCTCCAGTTGAAAGTTTGGAGAGTCCACTTGCATTGCATCTGCTTTCGCAGACTGCAAGCACTTCATGCTATACCTCCTCATTTCTTTTGCAATGTGGTGAGCCGTGGTAGGTTGATACACGTTGCGGACATTCTATGTCCCCATGTTTACTTTTGCTTTAATCGAGAGAGAAGACACATCGCCGACTGGCTTCCCGAAGGCTTTCACCGAGCGGTATGATTTTGTCTCTCGATTGCAGCACGGAATAGGTTTATTTTTAATTTTTATATTTTGTTTGTGCTTTGAAGTTTTTGGTGGTTGGATTTGTTTTACGGGGTAGGGTTGCTATCCCTATACTCAAGCTTTCCTCTTTACCGGGTTTAGGACCAGCCAGTGAATTTGGTGATAGGGTGGTCGTCGATGTTCGGTCGATACTCTTCGGTGTTCAGTCTTTGGCTGGGCTAGAAAAACTGTTTATTGCCTTTAGATTTTCAAGTGGTTCCGTGCATTGCACATACCGACCCAGCACCTGCCTAGGTATGTCTTGCTAAGGGATGTTAGATTAAGTTAGGAGAATATGGCTCACATTGGCCAGACCAAGATGTGGTGTCAGTTGTTGAAGTCTCTGAAGGTTGATCTGCGCGGTGCTGGAATGGGGTCCCCGAGGGAAGATAACAATCTGTGGTTGGAGATGGTTGGTCACAGTGACGCAGATGTTTTCACTTTTTGATGTCTTGAATATTCCACCCACCTTTATATTCGAATTCTTGATTCTCTCATACAACTTTATCTTCTTCGGTATGAGTCTTTTTCTATCCACGTGTACTCTGTATACTGCTATGAACTGGTTGAACATTTGAGCCGAAACGTCTGTGTTGATTTCGTCTCTCTTTCTTTCTATGATTGGTGAAAGCATTCTCTTCGAGATCTGATGATTGTCAACTCGACGCATGGAGTGGTCATGTGTCTATACGATTGACGAGTCGTATGCTAGGACGAAGCAGCTATCCACTGCTCTCATGTTTTCCGTGTTTCGACAACTGATGGTTGTCTGTGATGTGCACTGCCGTAAAAATAAGTAATATATTTAGAGGTAATATCCATCATGAACTGACATCTGTTAGGGAATCATTGAAAACCTGGGAGTACTGGACAGATATTTCGTCCAACTAGTGTGGGACTCCTCAGCAATACGTATCGACGACCCGACTAGGGCTTGAACTTAGAACCTTCCTATTTCCCTTGCGAATGTGTTGATCATTCAGCCACTGGGTCTGTTTTCAGTGGTTCGCAGTTTCCAAACTTTGTCAATATTTTTATTTGTTTTTCTCATTTTATTTTATAGGAATCCACTTTCTCCAGTTGGTATGAACAAGTGAGTAGTAGGATTGTGTTTTCATGCTTTGTGTGGTTTTATTTCGTACTGTGTAAGTCCTCTACTTATGTTGAATACAAGCTATAAAAAGAGATTTCATTGAGAGAAGAATAGACAATTTAACGAAGAAAATGTCCAATTAGTTGGTTGTGGCTAGCAGAAGAATCCAGGACTCACGTTTCGTTCTATTTGGGACTCGTCAGCTGGATGTACCTACACCCCAGTGATGTTGTTCCCACTGGGACTCGAACCCCGTAGCCATCACTTCAAACGCCAAGGTGTTATGCACTATGCCATGGAGGAACGATAGCTACAATCAACCAATTTATCATAATTAACATTCAGGCAATATCGAGGTATCCGTATAGGAGCCTATATACCAATAGAGGTCGAACAATTCGATCCAATGAAACAAAGGAGAATAACAAGTATGTCAATAAATAGTAATAACTACTACCCGTTGTACAAGAAGTGGCTATCGTTCCTCCGTGGCATAGTGGATAACGCCTTGGCGTTTGAAGCGATGGCTACGAGGTTCGAGTCTCAGTGGGGACAACATGACTGGTGTGCAGGTACATCCAGCTGACGAGTCCCAAATAGAACGAAACGTGCATCCTGGATTCTTCTGCTAGCCACAACCAACCAATTTATCATAATTAACAGTCAAGCAATATCGAGGTATCCGCATAGGAGCCTATATACCAATAGAGGTCGAACAATTCGATCCAACAAAACAACGGAGAATAACAAGTATGTCAATAAATAGAAGAAAATGTCGTTTTTCGATGTAATTTCATCGTGTCATATCGCAAGACTAATCATTTCGCTTGGTTAACACATTCACAACATATTCATAGATAATAACTAACCAACACCAAATGATTTTGACTTAGAGTATATGAACCAATAAGGTTAGAGGTAGCATGTTTGTTCTTATTTTCCACTTGTTATTCCACCAATCAGATTATTACTGGTTGTAATAACTCACTAGTTTCTAAAAGATTTTATACCTTATGATTTCTGGTTCGAATCCAGCCGCGGTGTAAATTTTCATTTCACTTTCAATCATCCATCACCTAGTATAAATACTAGTCTGTCAAACCACGGCAGAAAGTCTGAATGATTATATGTAAGTAACATACTGTAAGTGTAATTATGTGTTGTGTGTGTGTGTGACTTGGAAGTGAGATGAGAATATCTGAAATCTGGGAAGAACAATTCGATATAGAATGACTCTAGGAAACAGTCATTACGAATTCTATCAGGTCAAAGCCAACGGTGATTTATATTTTAAACAGAGAGGAAGTTGTAGCTTAGTAAAAAGGTGTCAAATAAACGGATATTTTCTGTAAAGACAGAGGCAGGCGTGCTAGAATCTCTACTGCAGGTGTGCATCATAGGGGAAACTCCAGTCCCCCTGATAGTTGCTGATGAGTTGCAACAACCACTGGACATAAGTGAAGCAGAACTTCATAATAGCCTCTAACTTATTATTATTATTATTATTAGTCTCTTGGGTTCCTAGTGGAACATAGGGCTTCAGTAGCACGTCTCCAGTGAACTCTGTTCTCCGAGATCTTTTGAACATGGTTCCACCACAGCCCAGAAGCTCTCATTTCCTCCTCGCACGACCTCCTCCATGTCACCCTCGGACGTCCAACTCGTCGCTTCCCCTGGGGATTCCACTCGAGCAACTGGCCTGACGCGTGATGTCCTCAGTCGGCCTTCTCAGTGCATGCCCAATACATCTCCACTTCCTCCTGCATATTTGTTGCGTAATAGGTTCTTGGTTGGTTCGTTGCCAGGCCAGAGTTCCTTGTTGCTTATTCTTTCTGGCAATCCATCTGATCTCCAGTAGCGAGCGTAAGCAGTTGTTGATGAATGTCTGTAGTTTATTTGAAATGCCTTTCGTGACGCGCCAAGTCTCTGAACCATACAAGAGCACTGACTTGACTGGGTTGGTGTTGAAAATCCGGATGTTGTTCCACATGGTGAGTTGAGTGCAGAAGATCTCCACACTGGTTTCAGGCTAATGAATGCCTGTCTTGCTGTGTTTCCGATTCTGACTTTGACATCCTCGCGTGTCCCTGTGCCGCCTGTAGTTGAAACAGTGCTTCCTAGATAAGTGAAGGAGGTTACTTCCTTTAAGTTTCTCCCGTTGATGGTGATTGGAGTTTGTTGTTGTTGTTGGTGAGGTATCTTCATCACTTCTGTCTTCTCTATATTCACTTGAAGTCCCGTCTTAGCTGCCTCTTCTATCAACTTGTTAGTTTTTGCCTGCAGATCTTCAAGTTTATGTGACATTAGGCACAAGTCATCGGCGAAATCCAAGTCTTCTAGGTTCTTTTCAGCCGTCCAGCGTATCCCCCTCTTCTCGCTGCCTACTGTTTGCTGCATGATCCAGTCCACCACAATCAAGAATATCATGGGGGATAGTAGGCAACCTTTTTCACTCCTGTCTTCAATTCAAAAGCATCACTGAGCTTCCCATTGTGAATTACTTGGCATGTGGCATCTTCATATACCTGCTGTTGAATGAGGCGGATGAAGGTTTGTGGTACTCCGTAGTATTGAAGCAATTTCCAAATTACTTCTCGGTCGACGCTGTCAAACGCCTTCTCAAAGTCGATGAAGTTGAGGTAGAAAGCTGATTGCCATTCTATGCTCTGTTCTATGATGATGCGAAGCGTTGCAATTTGGTCTGCACATGATTTTTACTTCCTGAAGCCAGCTTGCCTGTTCGAGTCGTAGTTTTGAATCCAGTGCATCCTTTAGTCTCTCCAGGATGATGCGGCCTTATATTTTGTTTGCCTTGGGTAGACAGGAGCGTGATTCCACACCAGTTCTTGCAAACACTGAGGTCTCCTTTCTTCGGCAGTTTGACAAGGTAACCCTTCTTCCAATCGACAGGTACCTTCTCTTCCTTCCACACCTTCTGCAATAGTGGTGTGACCATGTCCGCTGTTGTCTCTGCGTCTGTTCTCAGTGCTTCTGGTGGGATCCCATCTGGTCCTGCTGCTTTCCCACATTTCAACATTTTTATGGTGTTCAGGACTTCCATTTTTGTTGGAGGATTTATGTTCACTTGTAGCTCAGCGGTTGTAGGTGGTATTTCTGGACGAAATGCAGGTGGTGGTGGATTCAAGAGCTTTTTGAAGTGGTCGACTCATTGTTTCCTTTGTTTCCCTTTTTTCGTAATTAAATTTCCTTCATCATCTTTTATTGGTTTCATCTGTGTTGATCTCCTCCCAGATAGCAGTAACCTGGTTATTTGATACAATGTTGTCAGGTCTCTCCTACCTGCAGCCTGTTCTGCTTCACTTGCCAGTGTTTCGTAGAAGTGTCTTTTGTCTTTGCGCTCAGTCGTCTTCACTTCTTTGTCCAGTGTTTTATACATTGTGCTCAGTTCCTCTTGTCGTTGAGCATCCTTGCACTGCACTGGTTTATCTTCTGTTTCACCATCCTCCTCTCCTCTATCAGCTTCCATGTATCCATTGAGATCCATTCCCCATCTTCTTTCTTCTTCCTTTCTAATACGGCTGTGCAGGTTTCTTCCCACATAGCTTTTAAAGACTTCCAGTGTTCTTCCACACAGGTTTCTTCAGGGATGTTCCTCGATGTCTCCCATTTTGTTTTGATGGCTGGCTGCCATGAAGATTTCCTTTGTAGTTTCATCCTTCAGTTTCCGAGTGTTGTACTTGAACTGAGGTCTATCACCAATTTCTTTGAAGGCTTTCAACTTGGTGTTGAAGGTTGCTTGCACTAGTTACTAGAAAGTGGTCTGAGCCTACATCTGCTCCTCTTCTTGACCTTGTGTCAAGTAGACTGCGTCTCCATTCTCTTGAGATTGAGATAAAGTCGATTGATTTTTAGTGTGTCCATTTGGTGAAATCCATGTCGCTTTGTGGATATCTTTGTGCCTGAACACACTGCCTCCAATCACCAAATCGTTGAATGCACAGAATTCTGCAAACAATTCTCCATTCTCGTTCATCAGCCCACCGAGTGCTTCTCGACCCATGGTTAGTTCTCTTCCCGTGTTGTCCCCTCCCAGTTTGGCATTCATGTCGCCCATCAGAATTTTGATATCGCCAACTGACGTCTTGTCCAGTGTTGATTGGAGTTGTCTGTAGAATTCCTCCTTTTTCTCTTGCTCTGCATTATTTGTAGGTGCATAACATTGTATGATTGTGACCTTCCTTCCTTTTGAGTTGAATCTTGCTGTCATGATCCTGGAGGAGATTGGTTCCCACTGCATGAGAGCCTTTGATGCTCTTGAGGACATCATGATAGCCACTCCATAACTCAGTGTGCTCGTGGTTGGCGTCTGGGTGACCGGAGTAGATTATTGATTCTCCAGTTGACAGTTTGGAGAGTCCACTCCCATTCCATCTGCTTTCGCAAATCCCAAGCACTTCAATGTGATACCTTCTCATCTCCTTTGCAATTTGGGCTGCCTTACTGGGTTCAAACATCGTACGGACATTCCATGTCCCCACGTTTACTTTCGCTTTCATCTAGGGAGAGAAGACAGATCGGCCAATTGGCTTCCAGAAGGCTTTCACCAACTGGCGTCATTTCACCTCTCCGATTCCAGCGGGGAATAAGTTTGTTTTCATTTTTTATATTTTGTTTGTGCTTTGAAGTTTGTTTAGCGGTTAGATTTGTTTTACGGGGTAGGGTTGCTAGCCCTATGCCCAACCTTCCCTCTTTACCCGGGCTTAGGACCGGCTAGTAACTAGTAAACTAGTTAACCAATTTTTTTCTGCACAACACATCGAGAATACACTCTGTATGTGTGTGTGAGTATTACTTCTGATAATTCATGGGTAATTGGGATGATCTTTGAAACTGATGAGAAGCCCCATGAAAAAAACAATTACTTCTTCATGTAATACTTGTAACTCTCCGTTGCTATATAGGGCCGAAGTGCCCGATCTCTGTTGGCAGATAGGCTCTTTCGGTATTCATGATGTTGTAGTCTGTTTAGTGGTTAGTGC